GGCTACTGCTCATGTCTAGGGCTACTGCTCATGTCTAGCGCTACTGCTCATGTCTAGGGCTACTGCTCATGTCTAGCGCTACTGCTCATGTCTAGCGCTGCTGCTCATGTCTAGGGCTACTGCTCATGTCTAGGGCTACTGCTCATGTCTAGGGCTAATGCTCATGTCTAGGGCTACTGCTCATGTCTAGGGCTACTGTTCATGTCTAGGGCTACTGCTCATGTCTAGGGCTAATGCTCATGTCTAGGGCTACTGCTCTTGTCTAGGGCTACTGTTCATGTCTAGGGCTACTGCTCATGTCTAGGGCTACTGCTCATGTCTAGGGCTACTCCTCATGTCTAGGGCTAATGCTCATGTCTAGGGCTACTGCTCATGTCTAGGGCTACTGCTCATGTCTAGGGCTAATGCTCATGTCTAGGGCTACTGCTCTTGTCTAGGGCTACTGTTCATGTCTAGGGCTACTGCTCATGTCTAGGGCTACTGCTCTTGTCTAGGGCTACTGTTCATGTCTAGGGCTACTGCTCATGTCTAGGGCTACTGCTCATGTCTAGGGCTACTGCTCATGTCTAGCGCTACTGCTCATGTCTAGGGCTACTGCTCATGTCTAGCGCTACTGCTCATGTCTAGCGCTGCTGCTCATGTCTAGGGCTACTGCTCATGTCTAGGGCTACTGCTCATGTCTAGGGCTACTCCTCATGTCTAGGGCTACTGCTCATGTCTAGGGCTACTCCTCATGTCTAGGGCTACTGCTCATGTCTAGGGCTACTGCTGATGTCTAGGGCTACTGCTCATGTCTAGGGCTACTGCTCTTGTCTAGGGCTACTGCTCTTGTCTAGGGCTACTGCTCTTGTCTAGGGCTAATCCTCATGTCTAGGGCTAATCCTCATGTCTAGGGCTACTGCTCATGTCTAGGGCTACTGCTGATGTCTAGGGCTACTGCTCATGTCTAGGGCTACTGCTCTTGTCTAGGGCTACTGCTCTTGTCTAGGGCTAATCCTCATGTCTAGGGCTAATCCTCATGTCTAGGGCTACTGCTCATGTCTAGGGCTACTGCTCATGTCTAGGGCTACTGCTCATGTCTAGGGCTAATCCTCATGTCTAGCGTTACTGCTCATGTCTAGGGCTACTGCTCATGTCTAGGGCTGATGCTCATGTCTAGGGCTACTCCTCATGTCTAGGGCTACTGCTCTAGTCTAGGGCAACTGATCATGAGAAAGGAGAGGTTTGAGCGAATGCTCTACAGAAGCTTTAGTCCGGCTGCTGTTAAATGCGGACAGTGTGGCGGACTGTCATGGTCAAGACAGACCTGAGCCAAAGGGCAAAGCTGTTTATTTACCAGTTGGCCTACGTTCCTACCCCAACCTATGTCTTGAAATCTGTATCATGACAGAAACAGCAAAATCCCAGATAGACACAGCTAGAATATATTTCATCTGCCCCCCGTTAGAGATAGAGATACTGGGGGTGGTGGCCTAGTGGTTAGGGCATAGACCTTGGAATCCTGAGGTATTGAGTTCAAGCCCCGCTCCCACAGACTGCCTCTCTGGGTCCCTAAGCAAGACCCTTAACCCAACCCTGCTCACCGTGCGCTGCACAATGGCAGCCCACTGCTGCCCAAGGGGTAGGGTTAGTTCATTTCACTGCTGTGTACTTGTTACAGTGGAATGAAAATAAGAGACCTGGGGGTAAAAGTGTGAGGAGTTCAGCCATCCAGGAAAGACTCTGGGGAAGCTGGCCGGTGTCCAACAACCTTTAGTTGTCTCTGTTGGCCGACAACTTGCCTCAAATGTTAAGCTGCTCAACAAGCAGCCATTCAAGCACTGCAGAACGTGGTGAAAGGCATCCTTGCTGATGCGTTTCACCAATGACCTTAGAGATGTCCATAAATGTCCATAAATCGCCAAGACTGGATTTTCAAGGGAGGATCATTTTTTAGTAGTGAGAATATTTAACAGGGGTAACGACTACAGTGAGTGTCCAGTCTACCCCAAGAGTTCACATCCTGACTAATTTATTGCCAGCTTAAAAAAAAGAAACATCCAAAGATATACCTTTATACTGAAAATATCTAAGTTATAGCTGGTTAAATGATCCAATTCACTGAAACACAATTAAATGAAGACTCAACAAGCATGATACCAAAAAAAAGTTTGGCTTAGGTTTGCAAATCTGCTTCTGAATACTCCTGGTACTGCGGACCGATTGGACAAGAGTAGTGATGTTTGGCCGTAGAGCACAGAGGCAGAGGGAGAAATAAATCCCAACATTTCATTGGTTCGCTGTAAGACATGGTGACATGGTGGCAGAGCTCTTCCTTTGTAGCCACAGGTCTTTATAAATTACAGTCACTGTTGACTATGAATTCCACTTCAGATTAAAGTACTGCAGTCTAAAGTCATTTGGCTCTAATTGAGTCAAGAAAAGTGGGACAGAAACGGATGAATTAAACAATGATGAACATACATTCTGAAAGTGACTACAACTGATGATGGTGGTTCCAAGAGTATTTAATTAAAGTAGTGTACTTAGTTCTTCCAACAACTGCATAGTTTCTGACTATGTGGAAGTTTTGATAAAGACGGACAGAACAGCATGACAGAAACCACAGCTAACATCATCATCATCATCGCAGTACAACACAGAAATAAACCTAATACAAAAAAATTGATATTTTCTCCCCAACATTTCAAAGTAGAAAATTCAAGTGCAATTAATTTTCCAAATATTAGTTAAATCACAAACATTTCTCTGTAAAGTAACACTTTGTCACTTCTAGGTAGCTTATCTCTTCTTGTTATATATAGATGTCTCTCTCTCTCTCTCTCTCTCTCTTTATATATATATATATATATTTTTTTTTTTTCATTAAAAACAAATTGGATGTGAGCTGTTCTTGTAAGGAGAGATTGATGAAACACGGGATAAGGTGGAATATTTAGGATGAAATTGTTTAAAAAGTATGTGCACCAATCGATTTCCTCTTTTTACTCTCATCAGGCCAGCAAAGTAAACGTAAAAATAAACAGTGAACTTCATCCGACACATTTCCACTTTATGCCACCATATGTCCATGCATCAGCGACAAACAGCTCCACACGTTTTAAAAGGTTTAACAATAAAATAAAATGACATAGAGGGTGGGCTGAGGACTAATGGGGACGGGGAGGGGGGGAGTTAGGGGAGGGCAAAAATTCAAGAAAATAAAGATTTAAGGACGCAGCAGCAACATGTTTAGTTGATATTGTAGACTTTGTTCCCAAGTTTGAAGACGTTTCTCTTCCATCCAGGAAGATTTTTCAATTCAAAATGTCAGAAATAGCGTTTAGTTCCAGGTTTTATCCAGCAGCCCAACAAAGCCTGGTTTTAGTTTAGAAAACATGCAAATAGAAACAGATGAACGGGTCCCCCCCTCTGGAATGGGGGTCTATGAGGTCCCTGTTAGCCTGCAATGCCCCATACTGGCCTAGGTCTCTGAAAAGGGGGTCATTAGGGTAATTGTTGGTCTGGCTGACCAGGCGAGGTGTCTTGGTTCCTTGCATGGCGATGAGGATTATGATAGCGGAAAGGGATCAACTCTGTCGCTGCATTGCAGGGTTTAGTCCCCCCCCCCAAAGGTTGGTTTTCTTTCTTAACATAGATGGCTTCCTTCACGCCCCTCTCAAACTACCTGTCTTCTTTGTCCAAAATGTGAACATTCTGGTCCTCCAAAGAATGTCCTTTGTCCATCAGGTGTAGATGTAGCGCAGAGTCTTGTCCAGCGGAGGGCGCTCTTCTGTGTTGGGCCAAAGATCAGAGCATTCCTCCCTGCATTGACCTGCAGACACTCTGCTCAGATTAGGTTTTTAGGACCTGCTCTGGACCAAGACACCTCGCTTGGTCAGCCAGGCCAACAATGACCCCAACAACCCCCCTTTCTGAGGCATAGACCAGTATCTGGTATTGCAGGCTAACAAGGACCTTAACTACTCCCCATTCCAAAGGGGGGGACCCCTTCGTCTGGTTCTATTTGCATGTTTTCTAAACTAAAACCAGGCTTTGTTGCTCCACTCTATAAAACCTGGAACTAAACGCTATTTCTGGCATTTAGAATAGAAAAATCTTCCTGGATGGAAGAGAAACGTCTTTAAACCTGGAAACAAAGTCCAGAGGATTGATTTGAACTTTTTTGGAATGACTGACCTGAATGACTGAGAATCTTCTTTACCAGCATATTTAGGCAATAAAATCTAAACTATCCCGTCACTAGACGCTAAAGGAGCATTTCTAAAGCAAACACAGGAAATATAAAGCATGACTCCAATAAAAAACACACAGTCAGTGTTTGTGGAAACTAAGAGGTGTTAATTGGAGAATATTTTCATGATCTCGACTAAAGTTTATATTTCATGTCCTTGTTTAAAAACTATGGATTGTTTTTGCTCACAGTTCAAATTATGTGTGACAATCAGATAAATTACCCAGTAAACATGTATTTCAGTCTGCAGCTGCAACACCAACAGATAAACTAGAGGTCATTAGAACATAACGATGGCGTGATGAAGGAACTCTGACTTTATCCACACTAGCTTGAATTAATTCAACTTTATGACATCATTAGCTGCCAATTTCTTCTGATCTCTACAGGCTAATAAATCCAGATTAATGATGTCAGGTTTATTTCTGTTGGATTTAAAATGGATTTAATGCTTATAATTTGGACCAATCTGATTGAATATAAACATATAAATAACACGCTTATTCTATTTATTGATACGCAAATATTGTCCGCATATTGTTTTAGCTGTTAAATAAACTAAACTATTAAAACATGGAGCTTCATTACCGCAGAAGGGCTTTATTTAAAACTATAGTGTGTTAAGATTGATGTATTAAGGGTTAAAACTGTCTTTGCTGATATATAGGGAACACATATATATATATATATATATATATATATATATATATATATATATATATATATATATATATATGTATATATATATATATATATATATATATATATATATATATATATATATATATATGTGTGTGTGTGTACATTACAGAAATGAAATACTAATAGAGATTTCTACATCATCATAACTGGCCTCCAAAATCCTGTATTTGTCAAACTTTGCATGTTTATGTGTACCATTGCTACGGGGTGGGGGCGGGGGGGTGGGGGGGGTTATAGTGTTGTAGTCACGATGTTGAAAGGCATCATGTGACAATAGAGACAAATACAGGAAATTAGGATTTCTTCCTAAGAAAACAAGGAGAGAAAAAAAGGAGGGATTCAGTGTTACATGTGGGAACATCTGGAATGATGCAGGATCAAAGGGTTTAAGTGCAGAATCAGGTGGTTGGTTCTAGCTGTACGGCCGCAGGAACCTGCTGACTTTGGAGCGCAGCAGCCGGATGAAGGAGCGAGGAAACATCTCTTTGGACTCCGCACTCGTGTACTGAAAGTAATTCTGGGGGTGGGCAAGGACGTCAAACAGGGCTTTTATTAACTTCTTATCCTGCAGAAAAAGAATCATAGAGTATAAAATGACAGCAGCTCACAGCACAGAAGGGATGTTTGTGTGACTATTTTCATACCTTGAGTATCTCCTGGTGGTTCTCAGATGCATAAAGTCTCCCATCTCGCACTATGTCTTCTATCAGCTGCTGGTAGTCCTCTGCAGCACAAAGACAAGCGAAACAGGCTCAACTCAACAGAGTTATATTATTAGTTCATGTTTGCTGCAAAGAAGCATTTTGTTAATCAAAATTTTAACAAAAAAACTAAAACTTTTGAATAATTCTTAATAGAAAAGATTTGAATGTAGATTTGCTGTTTTGTCAGAAATTGTTTTTTCATATCTTAATTTTTCAAATGTTATTTTTTTCAGACTTAAATATCTTTATTTTTCCCTCATTTTCTTCTTCAGATTAAGTTTTACGAAACAGATAACATTCTCCAGAATCTGTAGTCTAGCAAACATTAATTCTGTATTTTTAAACACGTTCTGAAGAGTTATAGCTGTTTTTATTTTTTTAAATATATTTGTATTTTTCACTGTAAAATTCTTACTGTTGTGTTTTTGGGTTTAAATAATTGTAAGATCTGTCCAGGAAGAAAAGTCGCATTAAGCAGGAATACTTATTAATGTCCACCTTCTCTGTCAAATAAAGAAATAAATCTAAATCTCTTGATGCGCATATTTACCAATAAAAATTAGCTGCAGAGAAAGCCCCCCCCCACAGGTGAGGAGAATTTGAAAAGAAGGAAATCTGAAAAACTTAATCTGAAGAAGAATAAAGTAAGATTTGCAAAACGGAGAAATGAAAAAATGATTTCTTGAGAAAAAGAATGTATAAATAATGTTATCTGAAAAAGGTGGAAAAAATAAGAGATTAATATTTTAATATAAAATCTGAAAAGATAACATTTGAGAAAGGAGCAAACTAAGTGTCAAAACCTTCGTTGATTAAGAAGTTTAGTTTTTTAATATCTTTAAGTAAACTAGCTGCTAATGAGGCGTTAAAGGAAACTCACCATCATAGGTGACGTATGGAACCTGGAAACCTTTTCCGCTGTTTGCCTCGTTGGACTTAAACTGGATCCAAAGTCTGCGCGAGCGAGAGGTGAAGGCGATCGGCCGCTCGTACGTCTGACACGTCTCGTAGGTAGTGATGGAGGTGGGCACCGCTGGAGGAACAGAGCAGACATGTTGCTTCATGTGGAGAACCATAAAGAGCCTTCACATGTTGTTAATTGGCTTTATAGAAATAAACTTTAAGAAGCTGTCAGTTTGCTTAACTTTAGCATCTTTAACCAAAAACCTAGAGCTTGAATTTAGAGCTGGTCATAGAGTTCATGTGTTTCCTCTATGTAAACTTTTCTATTTTTGAGACTTTGGCAACAAATTGCTGTGAGTTTGGTGACCTCAGCTGCTGCTGTAAGCCCCTCCCACTTCAAAAACCTAGAAAATGCAAACAGACTGGACTCGCTACAAGCTAGCTCTCAAGGTCAGGAGAAAATTAAACCCTAAAATGAAACATGCTTGAGAATAAAGCAAAGAACATCTGCAACATTGGTGAAAATAATCACATAAAGATGACAGAATCATTAAGCCCTATTTTAATTAACAATCGCTCCATGTCTGGCTGATTTTCTCTCTCTACCGCTGGAGGGGAAACCAAAGGTACGGTTCTACTGAACAACCAAGCGACTCCTTTATAAAATGTTCCGCTGGTTTAATTTCTCCCGATCTCATCTGACCTGCTTCGTCTGCTCTGAAGGCGGCTCAGGATGCGTCATCCTGATGAGGGGAGAAGCAGAAAGCTGCGACCCAACATGAAGGCGAAGCTGAATCCAGGACAGGTAAAACCGCTGCTCACCTGTATACCTCCATCTGCCTCTCTCAGCTACTCCTCTGACAGGCGGCGGCTTTTTGATAAAACTATTTAATGCAGCTGCCTTTAAAATGGTTACATTAATCCTCATTAAAGGTACAGTGGAGGATTTACGTGAATTTTTGACCTCATCACTTAAAAAAAATTCACATGCACATCCCTGTTTCCGCTCCTGAGAGGGAACGCCTAGGGAACGCGTGTGAAAGTGTGCAGGAGTCCATGTGTCCTCGTGCACGCTCTGTTTCTAAGCTGTTGTTTGCATCGCTCACACAAGCTAACTTTCTAACAGAAGATTAGCATTTTTCCACTATGTCAGACTCACCAGCAGGAGGCGGAAATAAGCACGCAGGTAAACAGATCATCAGAATGATTGACAGTTAGGAGGACCACTGATTTAGATGATCCACCCAGAAATAAAACATCCTCCACTTTACCTTTAATAATGTTTTGGTCTACAAATAATACTAAAAATGTCAATATTGCATCATCAATGATTTCCAATGAATCATTTGAGCTGAGTTTATAAACACAGTCGGTTTTCATCTCTATTTATTTACCGCTCTTTCTCATGACAAGCACATCTCCACACTCGTCTTCAATGGGAAGGAAGATCTCTGGAACCACAATGAGGATTCGTCTTTTGTGTGGAGGACTTATGGTCCAGACGCAGTCCACGTTTGATGGGTAATCTCCAGGATAGTTGGGCGACTCGATGTAGCCGGTGTACTCCCCTACTTCCCCTCCGCAGAGCTGGTCTGAGGGCAGATTTAAACAGATCACCTTTAAAGAGGCGCTACTTCCAACACCACAGGAAACACAGGCAAGAACAACAGATAGAATCCCAGTTCTTATTGATATACTTTGGTAAATTAGCCTTACTTTTGCAGTGGGACACGTTTGTGGCCCCATCAAAGTCCGTGGTGGTGTTCCCAGGACAGTTGATGCAGTAGTTCTGGCCAAACTCAGACTGGTAGGTCCCTGCTGGGCAGCGGATGCAGCGGTGGGTACTGGAGTTGTAGAAATGTCCAGGAGCACAGTGGACTATAATCACAACACATAGTCAGATTATGCACTGTGTGTCCAATATATGGAAAATACATCCTAAAACAATAACTTTAACCAACAATTGTTTTAATTTCCCAGAAAGAGAAGATATTTCTACAGAGCTGGAGATTCCCAGCGATGGTAGAAAAAGAGCAAACAATAGAAGATGGACTGAATGTCTAAAAGCCTAAAATATACATTTACTAACCGGCTCTTTAAATGGAGAATGTTGCAGTTTAAGGCGTTACTGGTTGTAAATCAGACAAACAGAAGTACCTTTAATGTCAGAGTCCATCACCTTTAGTGGGACTTCAGCTTCAGACTGACTCCCTGTGGTGCAGAGCCCTGCTTTAAAGCTACAGGCTCCGCCCACACAAAGTCCAAACAAGCAAAAGTCAAAACAAACTAAACATTTACTTCTAACTCAAATAAACTCTTCAAGTATAGAAAGATAATAATAATAACAATAAAAAAGAATATTCTACTGAGAAAAGAAAATTAAACTAATAATCAAAAATACAATACTCAGTTTAATTGAAAACACTCAGAACGTTCTGATGAAATCACTACGTCATCACATGACTCCCTCGCCGCACGCCACGATCCGAAAATAACATGAAGCTGAAAATAACAGGTTAGGATGAATGTTAACTGATGCAGGAAGCAGGAACACTTCATGTGCTCCTACTGGTGTGCTCCTACTGGTGTGCACCAAAACGTAAGCTAGCGATTACTATGTCAGTGCGCATCTGACATGGACTTATAACCAGTCTGACTTTATTTTTAATCAACAAACTTTAAGTTCAGTTCAGTTAATATTGCATCAATTCTGAGATTTTCTCTCTAAGCGCTTTACAGAGACAATTAAATGATTTAGTAAGAAACTCTGAAAGGACTTTTCACTGTTTCATTACGAACCTTATCAAACAGAACTAACATGATTGGACAGAAGAGGAGAAATGTAAAAACATTTTACAGACTGCTAGCATGAGGATAAAATGTAGACATATTTTAGAGAAGCTGCTCCTTCATATAAACAAAGGGAGGCCTTCATTGGAAGGAATGTTCCTGAAGATGCCATCATCATCATCAATATCTCAGCTCATCCGCAGCAATAAGGTCATTAAATGCCATCAGGCATGTATGCTTTTGACAGGAGGCATAACTATAACTGGCTCTGAGCTGAACCTCTATACAGTACTAGGTCAGGATTCTCTGTTAGCAGCAGCCCCTTCATGAGCTGCAGCTGCTCCTGTTCTTCCCTGCTCCGTCCTGCTTTGCTGTCTTTGTGGAGCTCTTTCTTCAATCACCAGAACTCAAACAATCCATCTGGTCAGCTGGTCTCTCAATGCAATTGATCAAATGTTCTCAACTGGAAGACAGGGAAAGGAGACCCGTCCTGTCCTGGTTGGATGCATCCTTGGAGGATGGTGTGTTTTATGATGCTGCCAGTAGAGGGCGTGGAAGACGCTCACATGTTTGGATTTATGATACTCGCAGGTGTTTGGATTGGGAGGATACCTGTAATGATCTTAATCACTGATTTCATGTCTAACTCCGCCCAGTTTCTCATTACTGCTCATCTGATCCACCTGCTTCTTTAGATATCAGTGGAACATCTAAACTGTAAAGATATGTTATTTTAACCCATCTTCAGTTAATATAGAATAATAAACATAGAAAAGACCCCCACCTTTGGCCTCACAGTCCCTGAAGGTGACCGAGCCTTCATATTTGGTCAGGAGGCCCCCTCCACACGGGAAGCACAAAACCCGACCTGGTTCTGGCTGGTAGGAGCCCAGAGGACAGGGACGGCATGGCCGGAACCCGTCTGTGGAAAACTGACCTGGAGGACACTGACCTGTAGGATAGAAACCTGAAAGTCACATTTATGGTCAGAAGTTTCATTCCTTTTGTCATCTAGAAACGGCCCAGCAATGGAGGGGTTAATGCCGAAGGTAGCTTCATATCAGAAAAGCTCCACAGCATTTATATCCAGTATGCAATACAAAGACGACAGTTTTAGAATAAAATGTCTAATTAATTACTTCTGGAAGCCTCTTTTAGTTTGAAGGTTCATAAAACATACGAGCTCCAAACTTTCCTCTTTATCAAAACTGCTTTAAAGGAGTTTTCTGAAGAATTGAATTCTTTATAATGCTGTAACAAGATGTCCGTCCTTTTCTCAGAGGATCTTCTGTCCTCCACTCGTTAGCTGCTCTAATGACTCGGTCAGCAGCTCCAAGCCGTCAGACTCCAAACTCGACCATCAGCAAAAAGCCGTGGAAGGAACCTGCAGAGCTGCAGCAGGAGGGAAGAGAGAATCAGGAAGCAGGGTGGTGGGAAGGAAATGGAAGATATGATCTCTGTCCATCTGGGGCCTCATGCACAACCTCCTCCTGTGGGGTCAAAACAATCCTGAGAAGGTTGATTAAAACATGGAGGGAGCAAAGGCTGCCATCAGTAACTGCCAGATGTGTCCTCCTGCTGAACAGAACCTGTCCAGGTCCATCTGGAGGTCACCACAGAACATCAGGAGGTCAGACCAAACCAAAATGGCTTCCTTCCTCTAAGAACACTGAGCTGTATCCAAGGTTCACCAAGCCTTCTGTGAAGCACGGGGGTGGAACCATCATGCTTTGGGTGATCCATGATAGAACGGGACCATGAATGGGGAGATTTTAAGGCCAAACCTCCTTCCATCAGTGGAGTGTTAAAGGGGGAACGTAGCTGGACAATCATCCTAAACACACCGAGGAGAAGCTCTGAAAAAATAATTTCCTGGTCCAGGAGAGGTCCATGCCTCAGACATCAACCTCACGTGGTTTCCCAGCAACAGCCCCAAAACATCCCATCTATGGAGGAGGAACCAAAATGGCAGCAGAATGAGGAAAGCTGGAGGAGACGAACAGCAAACATCTGACCTGACAGGAACAAGGTCAGAGGTCAAGATCAATTCTTCCTACTGAACCAACAGGGCGCCGTACTGGGGGGAAAGGTTAGAACGATTCTAAGGGCCCTTGACTGGGGGGGGGGGGGGGGGGGGGGGGGGTCCTGCTATATTTTACAAATATAAAAAGAAAATCCAGCAGTGAAATGAATAATCTTCATTTTCTCCCTCATTTTCAGGAGGAGAGGAGAGACATCACTAATGATTTATTATTTTGTTGTGTTTATTTTTTATTTTTAAAGGAGAATTAATCCAGCATATAATGAGCTTTTGTGTGTCTGTAAATAATACAGAGAGCAAACAGCCGGGAAGTTTCCAGAGCTGAGAATCTACCTTTACCAACCAGACCAGGTAACAGGAAGGGTTAGCATCAGAGGGTTAGCATCAGAGGGTTAGCATCAGAGGGTTAGCATCAGAGGGTTAGCATGAGCTAAACGCTAGTAGAACGTTAGCAGGATATTTACAGTAAACCTGCTTCATCATTTAAACAGCTGATACACCTGCCCCCCCCATCCTCCCCACCTCCTCCAGAAGCTCCATAGAGAGCGTTCTGACCCCCCCCGACCCCCGCTCCCCCCCGCATAGAGAGCGTTCTGACCCCCCCCCATAGAGAGCGTTCTGACCCCCCCCATCCCCCCCGCATAGAGAGCGTTCTGACCCCCCCCATCCCCCCCCCATAGAGAGCGTTCTGACCCCCCCCCACCCCCCCGCATAGAGAGCGTTCTGACCCCCCCCCGACCCCCCGCTCCCCCCCGCATAGAGAGCGTTCTGACCCCCCCCATCCCCCCCGCATAGAGAGCGTTCTGACCCCCCCCCCATAGAGAGCGTTCTGACCCCCCCCATAGAGAGCGTTCTGACCCCCCCCCCATCCTCCCCCCCATAGAGAGCGTTCTGACCCCCCCCCCCCCATTCCCCCCCCCATAGAGAGCGTTCTGACCCCCCCCCATAGAGAGCGTTCTGACCCCCCCCATAGAGAGCGTTCTGACCCCCCCCCATCCTCCCCCCCATAGAGAGCGTTCTGACCCCCCCCCCCATTCCCCCCCCCCATAGAGAGCGTTCTGACCCCCCCCCCCATCCTCCCCCCCATAGAGAGCGTTCTGAGCAGCTGTCTCACTGTGTGGTGTGGAGGCTGCAGCGCCTCAGACTGGAACAAGGTGAGAACAGCAGAGAGGATCATGGGGGCTCCTCTTCCCTCCATTAAAGACATTTCATCCCAGCGCTGCGTGTCCCGTGACATCATCAGTGACCCCTCACCCCCCCACCATGCTGCCCTCTGGGAAGAGGCTTCCCAGCATTCAATGCAGGACCAGCAGGTTCTGCAGCAGCTTCCCCCCCCCCGCCATCACACTGTAAACATCATAGTTTCACTACAGGGTGAAAATATTATCTAATATCTCTACTAACTAAAATAGATCTTAACTCAAACATTTTTAACTGCATTTTTGAACCATATCTATTTATTTATTTTGCAATGCTGTGAACCTTCACATCAGTGCGTTTTGCAGCAGGTCTCTCCTACACTGATTACATTTAGCCTCTGCTTTATGAAGGGAAATGTTCTTTTTCTCTGCTAAGCTGCTCATTTACTGTTGGAAAGCTGAATAAACTAAACTTTGTTTTGAAAACTCTCTGAATACAAAAGGGTGATAAAGTTAGTCTAAGTCTAAGGTTCTCTGATCACGAGCAGACCGCCTCGCCTCCTGTTTACAGTCAGCTGACTCCTTTCTTGGGTTTTCACAGATCTCTGTTCACACCAGTGAATCTGTGGATGGGAGGGGCGTTTACCTCCACACTGAGACACGTTCTTGGCGCCGACGATGCCCTGTCCTTCAGTGCTGGGACATGGCTCACAGGTCAGCTGACCCTCCATGTCCTGGTAAGTCCCAGGAGGACACTGGACACACTGCTCCTGCTCACCACTGTAAAACGTCCCCGCACCACAGCTCACTGCACAAAGACCAAACAGGTGAATGATTGCATTGCTGGGAATTATGGAGAAAACCACAGCAGCTCCAGACTCACCACACTTCCCATCGTGGAAGACCTGACCCGTGCTGCAGGTCTCGCCTCCCTCTAGAGTCCTGACGGGTTTCTGGGCCACTTCATACTCGGTTCCAGAAAACTGGATGTAGAACTGCTGCTTGATGATGGACCTCCTCAGTGTACGCATGGCACTAGCGAGTTTATTCCTGGTCTTCTTCCGCACGCAGTCAATGTTACAGGAGTCTGAGGGTTGAGGATGAAGCTTCTTTCATACTCAGAATGAATCTTATTTGGCGTTTTTAATTTAGGACAAAGAGAGACCACGACACCTGAGGCTTCCTCTTCCTTCATCTCAATTTCAAACTCCGCTGAGATGATCGAGACCTCTTTTGACGGAGACTTGCGTCCCCTGCGGCGCTTCTTCGACGAGTCGCACTTGAGGTTGACAAACGTTACTTGGCAGTCATCGGTGCAGAGGAACTGACCTCCTTCCAGAGTAAAAATAGAGATCAACAAAATAAAATCCCAAATAACCAAAGTATGGCAGCGAACCCTGAAAGCAGGCCAGGAGGTTCTTTACCTTGGAGGTTCTGTGGGGAGGGATCCCTGAGTCTCTCCTTGGTTCGCGGGCTCAGGTGACATTTGGCATCTTTAAGCTTCAGCTTGGCAAACTCCTTGATGGGTGTGGCCAGTGGGTCTGTGTTTGTCCATAGCAGAAAGAAACACAAGGTTGTTTTTATTATTTTTTTATTTACTTGTTTGGACAAGGCTTAAAACTTTCCTTTTTGATAAAGCTTCTAGTTAGAGTGGCTCAGGTTATCCTGATCTATCTCTATAGTTATGCTGCTATAGGCTTAGACTGCTGGAGGACATAGGGACCCCTTTTTCATCATTCTGCTTCATTCTATCTCTATTCTCCCACTCTGCAGAATCTGTTAGTTCAATCTCTAACGTTCTGCTCTCTCTGCTTTTTCTCATAGTAGCTTCATCTGGTCTGTTCCTGTTTGGCTGTGACTCCATCCTGGAGAGAAATATCAGTCTAGTCAGGAATCACTCTCCCTTAACTATTGGGTGTCACTCCATATAGGTCACACTCACACCTGTGGAGGGGGGGGTGGAATTAGGCAACTCCACCAGAAAATGAATGCAGTTGTAGCTATGGCAACAAGTGCATGGCGTTGGCTCTGTGTGTGAAAACTATTAACAGAGCTCATCTACCTAACTTTTTCTTTTCTAGACAGAGTCACCTGTGGAGCTAGTTTACCTTTACCTGTTCTAGCATAGAAAGTAGTTATAAATCAGAGCTTCTGTTATTTTTCTATGTCTGCTTCTGTCTCCTTGAACCCCAGTGGGCCTCAGCAGATGGCCGCTCACACTGAGCCTGGTTCTGCTGGAGGTTTCTTCCTGTTCAAAGGGAGTTTTTCCTCTCCACTGTCGCTACAAGCATGCTTAGTGTGAGGGATTGCTGAAGAGTCAATGAGTCGATGCAATCAGCTGGTTTTCCTTAGATAGAAAACTTTGGATCAATCTGACTGGATGATCTGGTTGATCTGGATCTATAAAGGGATCTGAGATGACAGATGCGAATTATAGAATTATAGAAATAAACTGAATAGAAGAAACTCTTCAGGATTAAAAGTTGAAGAATCAAGAAGAGAGAAAACATTTTTCACACACAGTAAGAAGCCTCAGCCTCTCCGGCTCTCTAATCTGTCCCACCTTCGGTGATGGCAGCATCATGCTGTGGGGATGCTTTCTAAAGTCACAGGGCTTTTCTTCTGGTCATAATGTGTCAAAGTGAAGATGGATAAAGAATTTGTCCAAATCGTTTCAGGATGATGATGTTGAGCATTAGCAGGTGTTTATATGAGCAGGTGGTGGATTACCTCGGTGGACGGGAACTCCACAGCTTACAGTGTAATTCTCTGAATCTGCAAGGAACAAACATGAAAGGTGGATCAGAATGACGACAGATTATGATCGTTTAGACGGTTTTAGTTGTATTAAAACACGTTTCCTCCACTTCCACTGAAAACCAGACAGAAAGGCTAAAGGCAGATAAGGTTCTGTGTGACCTTAACCCTGACTGGGAAATAAAAGAGTTATTAAGGCGTCTCAAGGCAAGAGGACCGAAGCTTTAGAGAAACCATAAAGCAAACAAAATTCCACTCTCCGTTAAACTGCACCTATTTCACAAGGCTGCTCCCTCCTTGAATTAAGATGGACTCCAAAAGAACAAAAAAACAAATACTTTCATGCCTCACAGCCATCTATCAGTCTCGCCCTGCAGCTGCCAAGTCAAACCGAGCGAAGGCCACATTACGGAACGCCACCATCAAAGAATGTCATCAATTTGCAGATGTGTTAAGTACTATCGCAGGAGGAGAGCCGCAGGAGTTAGCCAAAGTGTCGGACGGCTGAAGCCAACAAAAAGAAAAGCAGCAGCTTCTGCAGGCGTCACTTGGAGACGCAGCTACCAGGGGACGCCACTGGGGGGCAGCATTCAACGACCAACCAATACATTCTTTTATTAGAATGAAACCTTTCATGTTAGTTAGTTTTGCTCTTTTGTTATATTAACTAACCTTCTGAGGTCCAACAGGCCCTGTTGGGACCGAAGGCTGGTCAGGTTTTAACGTTAGGGAGAGATAAGAAGTGAATTAACTTTAGTTGAAGGTAGATGTCAGGTTCAGGCATTAATGGAGGAACTTCAATCAATGGAAGTCATTGAAATGTCTCAGTAAGGATAGAAATACAAACCTGTGTGAGTGTGTGTTTGATAGATTGTGGGGCCCATTTTCTGATCCTTGTGGGGACCAATGTGAGGTCACCATGGGTAGAATTGCTGATTCAGGATTAGGATCATGATGTGATTAAGCTGAGCTAAATATACTATAACTAACTATAACTAACTATAACTAACTACTAACTAACTACTAACTAACTATAACTAACTACTAGCTAACTACTAACTAACTATAACTAACTACTAACTTACTACTAACTAACTATAACTAACTACTAACTTACTACTAACTAACTACTAACTAACTATAAACCCTGTTATAAAGTCAGAGACTGAACTAATAATTATGCTGAATTTCACTTAAAGTCACGTAGCCTACCCTGTATGTATGTAACCCCAGCACCCCTCGCCACCCCATCAACCCTCGCCACCCCAGCACCCCTCGCCACCCCATCACCTCTCGCCACCCCAGCACCCCTCGCCACCCCATCAACCCTCGCCACCCCAGCACCCCTCGCCACCCCATCAACCCTCGCCACCCCAGCACCCCTCGCCACCCCATCACCTCTCGCCACCCCAGCACCCCTCGCCACCCCCTCAACCCTCGCCACCCCAGCACCCCTCGCCACCCCATCAACCCTCGCCACCCCAGCACCCCTCGCCACCCCATCACCTCTCGCCACTCCAGCACCCCTCGCCACCCCATCAACCCTCGCCACCCCAGCACCCCTCGCCACCCCAGCACCCCTCGCCACCCCATCACCTCTCGCCACCCCATCACCTCTCGACACTCCAGCACCCCTCGCCACCCCGTCAACCCTCGCCACCCCATCACCCCTCGCCACCCCGTCAACCCTTCGCCACCCCGTCACCCCTCGCCACCCCGTCAACCCTCGCCACCCCGTCAACCCTCGCCACCCCGTCAACCCTCGCCACCCCATCACCCCTCGCCACCCCGTCAACCCTTCGCCACCCCATCAACCCTCGCCACCCCATCACCCCTCGCCACCCCATCACCCCTCGCCACCCCGTCAACCCTTCGCCACCCCGTCAACCCTCGCCACCCCATCACCCCTCGCCACCCCATCACCCCTCGCCACCCCGTCAACCCTTCGCCACCCCGTCAACCCTCGCCACCCCATCACCCCTCGCCACCCCGTCAACCCTCGCCACCCCATCACCCCTCGCCACCCCGTCAACCCTTCGCCACCCCGTCACCCCTCGCCACCCCGTCAACCCTCGCCACCCCGTCACCCCTCGCCACCCCGTCAACCCTCGCCACCCCATCACCCCTCGCCACCCCGTCAACCCTTCGCCACCCCATCACCTCTCGCCACCCCGTCAACCCTCGCCACCCCATCACCCCTCGCCACCCCATCACCTCTCGCCACCCCGTCAACCCTCGCCACCCCATCACCCCTCGCCACCCCATCACCCCTCGCCACCCCAGCACCCCTCGCCACCCCATCACCTCTCGCCACCCCATCACCCCTCACCACCCCAGCACCCCTCGCCACCCCATCACCTCTCGCCACTCCAGCACCCCTCACCACCCCAGCACCCCTCGCCACCCCATCACCCCTCGCCACCCCAGCACCCCTCGCCACCCCAGCACCCCTCGCCACCCCATCACCTCTCACCACCCCAGCACCCCTCACCACCCCAGCACCCCTCGCCACCCCATCACCCCTCGCCACCCCAGCACCCCTCGCCACCCCATCACCTCTCGCCACCCCATCACCCCTCACCACCCCATCACCCCTCGCCACCCCAGCACCCCTCGCCACCCCATCACCTCTCGCCACCCCGTCAACCCTTCGCCACCCCATCACCTCTCGCCACCCCGTCAACCCTCGCCACCCCATCACCCCTCGCCACCCCATCACCTCTCGCCACCCCGTCAACCCTCGCCACCCCATCACCCCTCGCCACCCCAGCACCCCTCGCCACCCCATCACCTCTCGCCACCCCATCACCCCTCACCACCCCAGCACCCCTCGCCACCCCATCACCTCTCGCCACTCCAGCACCCCTCACCACCCCAGCACCCCTCGCCACCCCATCACCCCTCGCCACCCCATAACTCCTCGCCACCCCAGCACCCCTCACCACCCCATCACCTCTCGCCACTCCAGCACCCCACACCACCCCAGCACCCCACCCCACCCCATCACCCCTCGCCACCCCATAACTCCTCGCCACCCCAGCACCCCTCGCCACCCCGTCACCCCTCGCCACCCCAGCACCCCTCGCCACCCCATCACCCCTCGCCACCCCGTCACCCCTCGCCACCCCGTCACCCCTCGCCACCTCAGCAGGGATAAAGGTGATAGAAAATGGATGGAAATGATTGAAGTTTATTTTCTACATTTGACTTTTCTTAGTTGGACAGTTGGAAAGTTTGGTTACCTGCAAGGAAGAGAGCGTTGGAGGGACAGGAGACGGAGCAGACTTCAGTGCCTCCAGTCTTAGTGCAGATGAGCTGGGCTCGTGGTGCAGGCTTTCCATTGGGTAGACATTTCACAGCCTCTGAGGAAAACACCACATACTGCTAAGGTCACACTGGAGAGGCAGACCCACGGACCAGTGGGACCCGGACCCTTACCGATGCAGTCTCTCTTGTTCCAGTGGAGTTTCTGCCCAGGTGGACAAACACACTCATAGCTACCCTGTGTGTTTATGCAGCCGTACTCACAGCTGCCATTGTTGATGCTGCACTCATCAATATCTACAGTTTAAACAAGAAAACAAACACACAGAGCCTGCTGGGTAGAAAGAAATACCAAAGAGAAACAGATTTTAAGGCTTATGCATGAAAGAAGTGCAGATTTCTGCACTGACTCACCTCCACAGTGGGTGAGACCATAGAGGATGTATCCCTTGTTGCACAAACACTCAAAGCTGCCGGGGTAGTTAATGCAAGTGTGGTCACAGGTCCTCTCAAAGGAGCACTCATCAGTGTCTGAGGAAGTTATAAAAACGAACAGCATTCATTAAGATCTCTAAAACCACAACCTTTAGAATCTGTTTCACTGCTCAGACTAACATTCGCAGTAAAATAGTAAGAACTGTGTCCATTCTCCTCTCACTATTCTGAGCTACTACTGCGCATCATTCACAATCGATTTATTGATTGATTGAAGAATGTTACAGTAAATGTTACACCATAAACGAATGACACAAGATCAACAACAGGAAATGTCCTTCCATAAAGACTCGTCAAGTCAGAGTCCAGTGAAAAGACTCGTTCACCCCGTGCTTCTGGGACGTCTAAAAACGCTAACTTGATGACCTCAGAGTGTTATGGTCTTGGTTTTGTGTTTAAGTTTTCTTTGAGTTTTCAGTTTCATGTTGATTCATGTTTTTCTTTGTTTTCTAGATTTATTGGTTTAATTCCCATTTAGTTGTGTTTTTGGATGTATTTTAGTTCTTAGGCTTTTCTTTGTTGCCCTCTTGTGTTGGTTTCCTTTTCCTTAGCTCTTTTCCTAGAAGCCTCTGTTCACACCTGTTCCCAATCAGCTCGTTAGTCCTCCCTTTGTTCAGTGTTCCACAAATATGCTCTGTTTGAATTCATGGGCTGCGTCCTCAGAAGGGTTAGGTTTAGGGTTAACCCTAACCCTTGGAGCTTACTTTTACTACTCTTGTGCATGAAAACCCTGGTTAATAAAATTGGAACAGACGGCTAAGATAATAAGAGAAAATATTTTCAGTGTTTACATTTTTTAGGGCAAAGATCACCAAATTGCCCCCAGATGATGCCTCCACCTTGACAAAATGGCTGAGCCTCGGTACGCTATGGAGCCTGAAAAGAACGCCTGAGAGCTGAGAGCGGTTTGACTATATTATTTCTTGTCTTTTCTTTCATAATCTAATTCCCATGTAAGAGGAACCTGTTTAAGGGTCGCATTGTAAATTCAAACTGTTATTTACTCATGTTTTTTGTTTTCTTTCCTTGTGTCATTAACATATAATTGGGGATTGATGCATTACGAGGAAAAGGACCCAGGAACTCTGTGATGAGAAGGACCTTACAGAGGAATAGAAAAGGTGATGAAGTTTCATTGTATTCATCTCACACTTAGCTGTGTTAACAAGTATTTAAATTACAAGATTCCTGAAATGATTGTGGAGCGATTTTAAGCTGTAACACCGATTGCACAGTAGGATTGGACTGCCATTTTCTTTGAGTAAAGTTTTCTCCTGTTTTTGTTATCTTAGGAAGGTAAGATGATTGTAATTTATTTCATGTTTCTTTACACAGGTAAGATGATTCCTAAAAAAGATAGACTATTTTATTTGTTGTTTTGGCCGGAGGTCCAATCTGAAGTCCTACAATCGTGTTACATGATTTATTTCATTATTATCAGAAAGGTTAATTCTCTGAGATTTAAATTTTACAGATTATTGGAGGATTTTTTGGAAATATTAATAATTGCAGATAAGAGAGAAGATACACCAAGAGACAATGGGACTTTACTGCAACAATTAAAAGTTCTCTTAATCAATTTGAACATTAATTACAGAAACTGGTCTCGTGAAAAACAGGATGTGTTACATCTCTAGATTTCGTTTCAAGATACTGGTCAGTTTTTCTTTCCTCTCAGGATCACATCTGATAGTGAGATTTAAGGATACTGGGACAAGGACTGCCCTCACTCTGGATCCACATAAGCCATGGACACATGAACGATATGCGAGGCCCAGGGGGCCACGACAACCAAGGAGCAGACTGACTGAACTCAAATATTAAGGGAGGTACATCAAAGAATAATGAAAGGACAAGAGGACCAGCGCACTCTAGCTGCACGTCGAAAGAATGCAACACCAAGGAGCCACCAGGAGATGGACGACCGACAGGATCAGATGTGATGAAAGCATCACAGGAGGGAATGGGATCCTTCTCCAATTGAATTAGATAAGTCAGACACTACGTACAACAATAGGATTGGAATAATATGAATATTATTGTCTATGATTAGTTGATATTTGCTGATAAGAACACTAATTGTGGTTTTTCTGTCTTACTCATTTTGAGGGGATGGATTGTAAAGACCGGTGACTCCAGGCATAAGACTGCAAACCTTCGACTTCTGCCTGCAAGATACTAAAGGCGGGAACCTGTGATCCTGTGTTCATGCCTTTAAAAGCCAAGGACAGACCCCTGAAGTGAAAGAACTATATTTTTGATTTTTTTCAACAGGAAAGAAGACCACACAAGTATCGATTATTATTGTATTCTGTAAATATAAACCTGATGATTGTAACATGCCATTGCTTTGCATTATAACCTGTATTACTGTTTTATTATTTCACATTGTGAACCATCCATAGCAGACTGTTTAGAGGACTGGGGACTCAGACTACTGACTGACTGACCTACTTAATTTTTCCTTTCTTTCATTTACCTAGCCTTATATACTACAATACACTATAACTAAGTTCAAGTTATTTGAAATGTTTTGAATAGTTATCCTTCACATATTAAGTAATATCAAGATTGGGTTGAATGGTTCAAACAGTGTTGGTTTCATAGATCATCATGAGTAGCATGGTCAAGATGCGATTTGTGCTACGGCCGACGCCGGAGGAAGGATGGATGTTTGGGGGAAGCATGGGTCGATGGGATAGTTTCCTCTTACATGAGTTTGAAATGAAAGAGAAAGATGCCCACAGGACGAAAAAGGGGTTTTCGATCCCATACTAATCGAATCATGGCCATGTGGAAAATGATGATCTTTCTTTGAAGGTTCAGTAATATTCACTTTGTTTTGTTATTCACTTTAGTTTTGTTATTATTCATGACACTTTAATTTTCATTTAATTTGTTTTTCTCAACTTGCATCCATACTGGGCTGCGTCGGTAACACTTAGATACCGTTTCATTTAAACTTCACATACACGTAAGTGCACTTAGTTGCGTGATATTACCATCACGATGCAAATTCTCATTAGTACTTCATTTTCAATGAACTACAGGAGGGAATGTAGAAGCGAATTGTGTTGCCTCAGGTCATCTTGACCTTAAGCTCACAATAATTGAGAACACAGAGCAAGCAGTCTGGGAGCCACGTACACATTTTGGCAATAACAATGGCAGGAACAATGTGTTCACAGGCGATAAGCCGAGTATAAGTCTTGAAAAACAAAATCATTAGGCCCACTCAAAGGCCCACTCGCACGCAATCCGGTCACAAGCCAAGAACTTCCAGGAAATGTTATCAGAGCGTCCAGTCGTGCACACACATCCACACAGTGCAATGTTGAAACTATATAAACGCCCAGATTTGAATGAGGAGTTGAGAAAAAGCTAGATGTGTTCTGTTGAAATGTTCAGCGCTGTGTTACGTGTACTGAGGACAGCATGTGAATTTGATCTATAAAATAAACGCTTCTTCTCCCGTCCTGGGGCAAGCAGATGATCGACTGAAGGTGTCCTGATTTTTTGACCATTGAAAACCACCACACAACCAGTCTAGGTAGACCGCGTCCTTGGAGGATCCAGTCTAGGTAGACGGCGTCCTTGGAGGACGCAGCCCATGAATTCGAGCAGAGCCAGACTCTGCAGTTCCTCAGTGCTGGTTCCTCGTCCTTGTTTTCCCCTGATGTCTCCATGGTTCTGATTTGTGTAACATTTTAAGTTGGATTTTGGATTCCTTCCTTTGTTAACTGAGATCATTCATTAAACGGCAAGTACTCATCTCTGCATTTGGGTCCTCAAACCACAACCTAAGCCGACACAGAGTTCTTCCATGTACAGTAGGGCTTAGAAGATCAGATAGATGAGGTAGCAAAAGTCTGTTAAACACTTTAAAGATGGAAATCTAGATTTTTAAACCAATTCTGAATTAAGAGGAGTCAATGGAGGCATAGTAGGACAGGGGATAGATGTTCACATCTAGAAGCTTTGGTTTAATCATGCATTCTGAACAATAAGCTCTAATAGACAAAGCTCTTTACAATAATGAACTCTAGAACTAATGATCGCAAAAATGAACTATCTAAGTAGACCAGAGAGACAAAAGTTTTTCTCGTTTATCAAAGTTAAACTCCTGGTAAAATTATAACCCTCAAATTTATTTTTTCTTAATTTTAAAAAAGCAGATAACTGGTGTCTGTTGTTATATTGCTACATAAAACACATTCAGTCTGTTGGACGTTTAAAAACAGTTAACTTCACTAAGTTACTGTTTAATGGCAGTTATGCAGTCTGCAAAAGTTGAAACACCATTTTTCATTCATGGTTTCAGAAATAAAGAAAGCAGTCAATAAAAGCAGGACCACAGGCTGGTTAGTATCTACAGACACAGATATCAAGAAAAAACAACAGAGAAATCTTTCTGAATTTATATAAAATTAAAGATGAGGGTTTTTAAGAAGAGGCCTCTCAATGGCCTGTTTGAAGGAAGGAGTTCAAAACAATAACCCATAGAGCAGCAATAATGGTAGAAACCTCCTTTATTAGAGGGAGGGCAGACCAGAGGGCAGTTAGTTGGTCTCATGTGGTGAATTTCCTCCTTCAGATAACAGAAGTACTCAAAAACAACAGAAACAGCAAAAAGATGGAAAATATTCGATGGGTCGAAACTCGTCTTAGAGACGCCACATCCTCAATCAAATCTGTTTGGAAGAGGAAGAACTGAGCGGATCCAATGAAATAATGAATGATCGTTCTCTGAAATAAAAGTCATTATAATTCTCTAAGAATGAGAACAGGGAGAAATATGTGATAAAATGTCCTCAGTCCATTCAGCAAATTGGTGAAAACTCATTCTGATAAAACCTCCCTGGGATAAAGTGCTAATCAAAGACTTTCTAATGAAGTTTGTAACTTAGAGGAAGTTGGTCTGAATGCAGGATGTTATTTCAGTAAACAGTTGGGAAAATCTCCCTGAGAGGACATCGGAAAGTTCGCCCATGCGGTCGGAGCGAGTCTCAGCAGCACAGTAGCTGCTAACATCCAGACGGCCGCCCTAAAAGAAAGTATAGCTTTCATTCCAAAGACTTCTACAAATCCAGAAATAATAAACAGGATCAGCAGTACAGATGGATCTGAAGGTGAACACAACCACTACACTGATTCACAGCTGGGAGAAAAAACACCTAAACAGCAGCAGCGACTAATCTTACATTTCATCATTAAACAGTTGATTTCACTCTGCAGGGTTCTGCACATCTATCTTCAGGATCTACCTCAGCGTTTCAGGCTGATGGACTCTGAAGGGGTCATTGCTGCAGCCTCTACTTTTTCTGTTTAAGCTCTTTTGTTGCCAACTGGATGTTACTTTTAGAATTTTTATCATCATCAAATTCTGCCAAAAGGTCTCGTTTTTTTTCTCCAGAATAAAGAGTTCTGATGAAAATGAAAAAGAGAGATCATATCTCTCCTATCCTGGCTTCTCTTCATTGGCTTCCTGTTAAATCCAGAATAGAATTTAAAATCCTCCTTCTCACATATAAAGCCTTAAATGGCCAAGCTCCATCTGATATCAGAGATCTGATTGTTCCTTATGTTCCTAACAGAGCACTTCGCTCTCAATCTGCAGGTTTACTAGTGGTTCCTAGAATTTCTAAAAGTAGAATGGGAGGCAGATCTTTTAGTTATTTTAGTTCTGCTGCTATAGGCTTAGACTGCTGGAGGACATAGGGACCCCTTTTTCATCATTCTGCTTCATTCTATCTCTATAGTTCTGCTGCTATAGGCTTAGACTGCTGGAGGACATAGGGACTCCTTTTTCATCATTCTGCTTCATTCTATCTCTATTCTCCCACTCTGCAGAATCTGTTAGTTCAATCTCTAACGTTCTGCTCTCTCTGCTTTTTCTCATAGTAGCTTCATCTGGTCTGTTCCTGTTTGGCTGTGACTCCATCCTGGAGAGAAATATCAGCTGTGCTGCTGCCATCAACACCTTTGTTTCTAGATGTTGGAGCTTGGCCTGTTTTCCAGTGTAGTCCTGTTTCTCTGACTGTGACTAACTGGATGTGCCTTTTGTATCTATGCTTCTTTTTCTATGTCTGCTTCTGTCTCCTTGAACCCCAGTGGGCCTCAGCAGATGGCCGCTCACACTGAGCCTGGTTCTGCTGGAGGTTTCTTCCTGTTCAAAGGGAGTTTTTCCTCTCCACTGTCACTACAAGCATGCTTAGTGTGAGGGATTGCTGAAGAGTCAATGAGTCGATGCAATCAGCTGGTTTTCCTTAGATAGAAAACTTTGAATCAATCTGACTGGATGATCTGGTTGATCTGGATCTATAAAGTGACCTGAGATGACATGATGTGAATTTAAGCTCTAGCTGTTCGGTGGGTTTAAGGTTCAGCACATCTGCGTTAAATCGAGTGACATAGCAGAAAATGAAAGCCTTATATTAAAGATGAATTTTGTGGATACTCAGTGTTGTGGGATAATATATATATATATTATGAATGCATGTTTAACTAGAACTGGAGTTGTAGTTAATTATTTAACTTATTCACAATCAGAGGTAAGATCAATTTGGTGTTCTTAGTTGAGTAACTTTACCTTTCACCTCCGGGTGGCTCCTGGATCGGCTTTAAAATCCAGTTCTTCTCACCAATTTAGTGGCTTAGGCTATCAGAGCTATTAATTATCAATCAAAGAACTATTTATCTGCAGTCTGGGTGAAGGAGGAGAAAGGGCAGCTTGGGGTTCCAGCTCCACACAAGTCCGTCCAAACCGGGTCGATCTCAAAAGAATCTTAGATCAGTCTGATTCAACAGCAGAGGAATCTCATGGGCTTTTAATTTGAGGAAGTTACTTACGGCTATCGAACGAGACCGCCCCCTCGCAGACAACCGTTTCAATGATCTGCGGCCCAGTCCTCAAAAGGGGAACGCAAACAGCAAGTAGAAGGACTCTCCGTTCTTTTTCACCCAACTCAGCGGCCTGGCACGATTATACACTGCAGTCCCTGACTTTAACAGCAGGAAGGCGGAAAGCTACTTTCAGACACCTTCCAGGGGATATCAGGCACTATAATACCGGGGTTTTGACTGCAGGCTAGCTTCCAGGAAACATCCCACGTGGAATTTGGCCTCTCCTTATAGCTTAAAGCCAGGAACAGTGCAGCAGGTCAGAGTGTGGTCTGAGGGGGCCATGGAGAAACTCCAGGACTGTTCTGAATGCTCTGACTGGAACATGTTTAAAGCTGCAGCAGCATATGACAACAAGATAAACATAAATGAGTATGCCATGACCATGTCAGCCTACATCAACAAATGCATCTCATAGAACATCAGCGCCCGGGCCAACCAATGGCCCTGGGTGAATGGAGAGGTTCGGAAATCGCTAAAAGTACCAAACTCAGCTTTCATGTCTGGTGACAGAGAGGCTCTGAGAACAGTGAGAGCCAACTGGAACCTTTCCATCAGATCAGCGAAGCAGAACCACAGCCAGAAGATCCAGGATCTCACCCATGATGACAGCAACACCAGGAGGACGTGCAAATGGGTGATCAACTCCCAACCATAAAACTCAACAACATCAAAGCGAATCGCACGCTCCACCAAAGCTTGGTTTCAGAGAAAGTCCTGGAAAATAGGGGAGTGGCTATCATTGTTCCCAGACTTAAACTCTGGAAATCAGTTAAATAATCATCTTTGTTGTCAAGGCAACTGTTTCCCTGAAATGTGTCCTCTTAGAAGAGGGTTGTCACCGTGCAAAGCCCCAGTAGCATCCTGGTGCTAAGGGTGCTGTTCAGGGACCTTGAGAGGCATTCTGTGGGAATCAAACCAGGAACCTTTCCCAGGATGCCATGCCCTTGCTGTGACCAGCAGGGAACCACTCGCCCCAAAAAACATCCTGGAAATGAAATCTAAAGCAGCTTTTTATCTGACAATCCGCTGCTGGAACCAGTTTAGATGAACTATTCAAGCTTTGTTTTTTACACATTTCCTACAAATAGCCTCCAGTTTGTTCATTTTGCCAGTAAAGCTTATCTGCAGCGGATGTTGAATAATCGTAGCTGTGGATGCAGATGTCTGCAGAGGGAAACTGGCAGCTTGTTGCCGTCTGGTGCATCGGCAACATGTCAACAGCAACACCACTAAAGCCATATGAGAGGGAGACTATGATGTGGCTGGAACCACTCAACACCACATACTTCAAAAGCCCTTATGGTGTTGGCCACTTAATCTGGCGCATCCGCGCCTGTTTGTTCCATAGTTTGTTTTGGGTGGAGGATCGAGCAACCTTAGGGTTTTACGGTTTGGAGAAATCATTTAGTGTTTGTCTGATCTTCTGCCTCGCTTGCTGCGACATGTAAGCAGGAATTTGCCTTTGGTGATGGTGAAGGAGCAACTTGTCTGACCTACCCCTACTGATGCAGTAACTGGTCTGATTACTTCCAACCATGTAATGAAGACAATATCTGCAGCAAAGTGCATGAAGTGTATTTATGGCCACAGTAAGCTGATTTTTCAATCAAACCACTAAAAATGAAAAACACAACAGTAGAAAATCAACAGCAAAACTCAAATAGATCCAAATGTCTTGTAAGGAAAACAAAGAAGCAGACGGCTCCTAACATCTACTGACCTTTGCATGTCCGCTCGTCAGTGAGAAGCTTGTATCCTTTCTGGCAGCTGCACTCAAACGAACCCACCGTGTTTCTGCAGGAATGATCGCAGCCTCCGTTGTTCTCCTCGCATTCATCGATATCTGCATTCAGTGAAACAGACAGTCAGTTAATAACATTACAGTAAATAACTGTTCAAGTTTTACACTTTAAAAAATGAATGTATGGAATTAATTTTTAAAGAAAATTTAGGCAGATGGGACTGGAAAAAATAATCTGAACATGTGGAGGCTTTTATTTTTCCTTTACTGTTAGAAGGAAAAAAATAAAACAAAGCACATTAAAAAATGAAATCCACGAATAATATTTAAAAAAAAGCTTCAATAAAAAAAAAAAGTCTTGAAGGTACCTTTGCTTTTTCCAGATTTTTTTTTTATATCAATATTTTTCATTTTATTGTTTTATTCTTTTAATAGTATTTTTTCAGAAAATTGTGAATAATTTATTATTTTCATATTAAAAAAAAATTTTCATCAGGCTAACTTTTACTAATTGCGCTCCTTTTGAACTGCATTTTCCAGATCACATTTTCTTCACCTCTGAGGGCGGGGCTTCCTCTGGACTGAGGACAGAAGATGCATTTCTATTGGCTGCTGGATGTTAGCAGCATTTCTATTGGCTGCTGGATGTTAGCAGCATTTCTATTGGGTCTGCTGGATGTTAGCAGCATTTCTATTGGGTCTGCTGGATGTTAGCAGCATTTCTATTGGCTGCTGGATGTTAGCAGCATTTCTATTGGGTCTGCTGGATGTTAGCAGCATTTCTATTGGCTGCTGGATGTTAGCAGCATTTCTATTGGGTCTGCTGGATGTTAGCAGCATTTCTATTGGCTGCTGGATGTTAGCAGCATTTCTATTGGCTGCTGGATGTTAGCAGCATTTCTATTGGCTGCTGGATGTTAGCAGCATTTCTATTGGGTCTGCTGGATGTTAGCAGCATTTCTATTGGCTGCTGGATGTTAGCAGCATTTCTATTGGCCACTGGATGTTAGCAGCATTTCTATTTGCTGCTGGATGTTAGCAGCATTTCTATTGGGTCTGCTGGATGTTAGCAGCATTTCTATTGGGTCTGCTGGATGTTAGCAGCATTTCTATTGGGTCTGCTGGATGTTAGCAGCATTTCTATTGGCTGCTGGATGTTAGCAGCATTTCTATTGGGTCTGCTGGATGTTAGCAGCATTTCTATTGGCTGCTGGATGTTAGCAGCATTTCTATTGGCTGCTGGATGTTAGCAGCATTTCTATTGGGTCTGCTGGATGTTAGCAGCATTTCTATTGGGTCTGCTGGATGTTAGCAGCATTTCTATTGGGTCTGCTGGATGTTAGCAGCATTTCTATTGGGTCTGCTGGATGTTAGCAGCATTTCTATTGGGTCTGCTGGATGTTAGCAGCATTTCTATTGGGTCTGCTGGATGTTAGCAGCATTTCTATTGGGTCTGCTGGATGTTAGCAGCATTTCTATTGGCTGCTGGATGTTAGCAGCATTTCTATTGGCTGCTGGATGTTAGCAGCATTTCTATTGGTCTGCTGGATGTTAGCAGCATTTCTATTGGTCTGCTGGATGTTAGCAGCATTTCTATTGGCTGCTGGATGTTAGCAGCATTTCTATTGGCTGCTGGATGTTAGCAGCATTTCTATTGGGTCTGCTGGATGTTAGCAGCATTTCTATTGGGTCTGCTGGATGTTAGCAGCATTTCTATTGGCTGCTGGATGTTAGCAGCATTTCTATTGGGTCTGCTGGATGTTAGCAGCATTTCTATTGGCTGCTGGATGTTAGCAGCATTTCTATTGGCTGCTGGATGTTAGCAGCATTTCTATTGGGTCTGCTGGATGTTAGCAGCATTTCTATTTGCTGCTGGATGTTAGCAGCATTTCTATTGGGTCTGCTGGATGTTAGCAGCATTTCTATTGGGTCTGCTGGATGTTAGCAGCATTTCTATTGGGTCTGCTGGATGTTAGCAGCATTTCTATTGGCTGCTGGATGTTAGCAGCATTTCTATTGGCCGCTGGATGTTAGCAGCATTTCTATTTGCTGCTGGATGTTAGCAGCATTTCTATTGGGTCTGCTGGATGTTAGCAGCATTTCTATTGGGTCTGCTGGATGTTAGCAGCATTTCTATTGGGTCTGCTGGATGTTAGCAGCATTTCTATTGGGTCTGCTGGATGTTAGCAGCATTTCTATTGGGTCTGCTGGATGTTAGCAGCATTTCTATTGGGTCTGCTGGATGTTAGCAGCATTTCTATTGGGTCTGCTGGATGTTAGCAGCATTTCTATTGGGTCTGCTGGATGTTAGCAGCATTTCTATTGGCTGCTGGATGTTAGCAGCATTTCTATTGGGTCTGCTGGATGTTAGCAGCATTTCTATTGGGTCTGCTGGATGTTAGCAGCATTTCTATTGTTCTGTTGGATGTTAACTGTTTAGAGTTTGGAAACTATATAATTCATTATACTCGATATCAAAAAAGGAATAATAAAAAAAAAATGTATAAAGACATCTCAAAAAAAATTAACTCGCAAAAAAAAGAAATGAAAGCCGAGAAAAGTTACTCACAAAACCTTTTTTTGAATTAAAACCTTTTTTAAGTTCCATTTATGGATTCCATTGCTTCTAAATTTCAATTTACAAAATGCATTTTTTCACAATTATTGACGAAGCATAATGGAACAAAGTTCACTCCATACGACGTCTTTAGCCTTCCTAAACAATTCCTTCCCTTCATTTTTAGGTCTGCTTGTGTGTCATTTAATCCAAGATAAATTCAGTCATAAAAATAAGTAATAAATGAATAAAAGTGAATCATTACACTAGAAACAACCTGGTGAAAGCGTGAAATCCAGACTAAGCTTAGACGTATGAGCTCCTGCCCAAGAGTGCAGCAGCAAATCCAAGTCAGAGAGTCTGAAACATGAATAGTGATAGAAATGGGAGTGCAGGAACCCCTGAGGAACTGTTTTTATTGGCAACCACAGACCTCATGGCTGATCTGGTTTCACCAAGCCTCCAAAATTCTTTCTTTGCCTCATCAAGTTTATCGTATCCTCAGGAGAACTTTCACAGCTTTATAAACTAATACCTCATCTATTTGGATCATAAAGGCTCCAATATTTACGTCTGTGAAAACTATGTGCAAAAGATAAAGATGTTAAGATCCAGAAGATGAGCAAAGAGCAGGTAAATAAGAAACCCAAAGAAAAGGAGGGACAGCAGCAAAGCAGGGAGCAGACTATAGTCTGAGATTAAACAGCCTAAGCTCTTTTTGATTGGCGCTTCATGTGATGGAAACAGCAAGATGCCAGAAAGAAAAGAGAACAGAGAGTGTGCAAGAAAAGAGAGAGAGAACAGGGGAGGGAAAAACACTGAAACGCTTCAGAGGACAAGCTGGGTGTCTAAAGAGGAGGAATCAGCGAGGCCATAGCTGAGGATCAGGGAGAAAATGACTCCTTCTAACTCACACCTTAGTTTCATCATCACAGGAGTTTGATTCATGTTCCAGGACATAAACCAAAGAGTCCATGTGAACACAGAGGGCGGGGCTAAGGAACCGCTTTAGGCCAACTCTTCATCCATCTAAGCGGTGGTGTCCTTGGGCGGGACCCTTGGCATGCCTTGCCTGCTCTCGGTGGTCGATCGGTTCTCTGCCAACGTCATGCATGAGCATCAGGTCTCTGCTGTGGAAAGGGGGAGCGCTCCGGGGGCAGCCAAGGGGAAGAACGGCATTTTCCCACTAATCAAGGTCTGCCCACAAAAACCAAACCTCCTCTGCCTCTATTTCACTTCCACAACACCGAAGCCTTGCATCCTTCAGAAATGATTCCAGTTACTGATCCGTGATGGAGTTTAATTCTTTATGCATTAAACTGAACCAGACTGGTGGAGCTTAAAGAGCTTAAAGATATATAGTCATTTTTTTTATTTATTTATGAACCAGTAACTCGCTTTGGTTATTAACAAAATGTTTAGATAAATAACAGCATCCTGCGTCCTTTCAGTGTATATTTAACATTTTAATGTCATGGGACCAGGATTACGTCGGTGTGCATGCGTAATATTGGTCATTAGGCCAAAGCCTAAAGGTCAAAGGTCAGTCTGGAAGTCCAGGAGTAGTTTCAGACGGAAATATTCACAGACTGGATTATATTAAACTGAACTTCCAGTATTCACCACTGTTTGGCGCCAAGTAACCTTTCCTCTGATCACGGCTTGCTTGGTCTCGCAATGCATCCTGGGTAAACCAAGGATAGCAAGGATACATCGGACCCGTCCTTCAAATCGGGCTAAAAGAAGGACGCATTTTAAGGCCGCATAACAAGGATTCTTGGAATCCGACCAGACCTCGGCGCCGCGCTATGATGTCATCGGCCTTCGAATCCGGCCTTCTAAGGATGCGCCCATGAACTCGAACAAGGCCCTTTAAGTCTAGTCTATTGGATCTTTAGTGGACTCTGAGTAACGTTTGTGTGGATTTGTAGCAGCGATGTTTAGCTTTGTCAGCTGGAAGCTCATCTGTTTAATAAAGATAATGTGTTTCATGTCTAACCTGGAGTTCAGCGTGTTCCAAAGGAGTCCTAAGCATCTTCCTGTTTCGTTAGTTCAGGATAACAGCTGTTATTTTAGCTGCAGGATAAAACCAGGTTCAACTTTAAGTCCACAGTGTTTCATTCATAAAATATGTTAAGGAACATAAAATGTATGTGACTGAACCTTTAAGGAAATAAGACAAAAAAACTTCAGCTTGGTATAAAGGAATGAACATTTTAAAGGAACACCTAAATTACAAAAAATGAAAATAAAAAAATCATTCCACAATGTTTCTTTCTATGTTGTTTTCACTGCTGTGCTTCTGTAAAACCAGTGAAAACAACTGTGGGCGAAACCAAGACAGACAAACACAGCTTCTTAATTACTTCTGTAGCTGCAAATCCTGGCAGCATCACAGCATCTGCCCACATTTAATGGCCACTGCGGGGGTGGCTATGGGGAGATAATTACCCTTAATGAAGCTAAAAGATTCTTTGAGCCTAAGTAAATACATCAAGCTAGAGAACGTCTTGAACTGATAAAGTCTGCAACAAGGCAAGGAAGA